TTGTTGTGGACTCCAGAAAGCAATTGCAGAAGTTGATTGTATTACACTCATTTTCTTTAAGTGAAAGCAGGTGGAGAAAAAATTGAAAAGAAAAGTCTGTAAATATAATGTATACTGGGAGTTGGGTTAAGAAGTTCAGGATCTTTCAGCTCTTACAGTGGTGTTTTAGTGTCTTCTGTTAAATTTTGCAGCATTTTCTTCCATTTCTGCAACGTGATGTTGGTCACTCACATCAACCCCCAGGACGGTGTGGGTGGGAGACAAACACATAGTGGTGTGGCAGGTAGGAGGCAGGGATCCCTGTGGGCCATCCTGGAAGCTGTCTCCCACACCCTGCACACGGGGGTTAAACTGTGGTACAGGGAATTCCAAATGGAGCCGTGTATTTGGGTCAAGTTTACAGTGTTCACTTTATGTGCATTTTTGAGAGCATTTAAAAACTCAGTAAGAGTCCTTGCCCAGTGCCTTTTCCACACACGTTCAGGATGGTATGTTTACTCAGGAGATATGACGTCGATTTATGTTCTGTTAGTACAGCTAACCCTTTGACTGAAGGTTAGCTGTGCCCTTGCCATCAAAGAGCCCATTGTGTGTGCCCAAGTGGGATAGACTCATGCGGCGGTGCTGGCCTTTGGTCTACCCCTTCCTGGCACAGTAGACACTGCTTGTTTTTTTCCCCATTAGCCTTTTTTTTGGCTGCGCCAGAACACCAAGTGGAGGTGTCTTGTAGATTTTATTGCCACTCCTTGAATAGTTTTATCATTCACAAGACTAGTCATTGTAGTGTGTGGTGCTGCCTGACCTGGCCGTGCCATGCAGCCACCGTTCCTTCAGCCTGCTTCTTTCCCTGACAGCGTTCCCTCAGCAGGGCTTGTCTGGGAGTCCTTTGGATCTTTGAGCATCTTGTGGACATTAGTAGACACATCTTGGCAGCTCTCTGTCATCATATGCAGCTTTTGTGATCTAAGTGTTCATGAGAACCCGTAAAGTGCATACACCCATCCTAATAGCTACTTCTGTCCTTGGCCATAGAAAGTCTGATTTCTATTCCCTGATTTCTATGGAAAATACAGTCCATATTTTGGGTAAGTGTTAAACTCTGGACCAAACTTAGATCCATCTTAGTTTCACTGCTAAGAGCTTCCACTCTAGGAGAAATGACAAACATTACCTATAGCCACTTGCTTCTCTCATTTTAACAAGTGTTGTTGATGCCTAACATTTATTTTAAGCTTTTGTCACTTTAAAATTTATTTGTTTTACCCTGGCTGGGTAGCTCAGATGGTCAGAGCATTGTCATCATGTGCCAAGGTTACAGGTTTGATCCCCAGTCAGGGCACATTAAAAGAATCAACCAATGAATGCATAAAGAAGTGGAACAACAAATTGATGTTTCTCTCTCTCTCTTTCTCTCAAATCAATAAATAAAAATTATAAAAAGCTTATTTGTTTATACTTCTCAACCTCCTCATTCCCCCAATACACATACATTTAGTAGGTAGGAGCATGACATTAGCACTTTGTATCTATTTTAATGGCATTTATCTTTTTGGGTTCATATTTAGTTATTTGAGAAGACCTTAACTAATTCCTCAAGAAGCTTATAAACTTGCTGATGTTGGAATTTGTGCTCGACTCATCTTTTTGTCTCTTGTACCTTCCTACACAGTGCATAGAACATAATAGGTGTTAAATGAACATTTGTTATAAGGATGAATACAGACAGTGTCCTAGGTGGAGGAGACTGTGACTTTGACCCATTGTTGTGTCCTTGCCGTGCTATTTGTAGATCTGGGGGGCCGTCTGGGATACTTTCTGGCCTGGGAAGGGTGTCAGGGCTGCCAGACAACTTGCACCTGGAGTCTGAGGCACTCATTCCATTGCTGGGCCCTCTGGCATAGGCCCACTTGTCTTTCAGACTCTGCCTTAAATGTTTGTAAAATGCTATAACTTCCTTAAGCAACCCCTTACCTAGGTTATAAGAATGACAGCAATACCATTGTGATTGAATGTTCCCTTCAGTCTAATCAATGAATCCATTGTTTTGGACAAGGTGCGTCACAGAACCACCCTCAGGGATTTGGCCAGGGACAGGAAGTGGGAAAAGCAATTAGTAAGGATGGATGGATTTCAAAATGCAAGTGGCAAGGAACCTGATTAGCAACAAGGATTTTCTATAGTTAACAAAAAAAAAAAAAAAAAGGAATATACATCTCTCTTTTCCCAGTGTCCTAAAATTGGTTATTGACAGGGGATTCTTCTTGCTTGCCACTCCTTCCCTGTCCCCAGCCACCCTCAAAGACTGAGCTACCCTAAAATCTGGGTGCCTTTTCTAAGTGTTAAAAATAGTAGCACAATGCTGCTGTAGTCCCATAAAGCTGTATTTTCACTGTCATCTCTAACTTGTTATAGTGCTAGGTAATTACATGGTGCTTTCCATCTGCAAGTCTGTAAACACATTATAAATGTTAACTCTTTAATTCTCACAACTCCTCTGCTGAGAGAGGGAGAGAGTGCACGGTGCCTTTGTGGCTTTGCTGTTCCTTTGGCCTGGCTACACCTCATCGAGGTGCTCTTTCCTAGATGTGAGAGAGCTTGGTCAAGTGCCACCTGCTCTTAAGAGTGACATTCTGTGCTGCCAAATGAAAAACTTGCACTTTCCACAAAAGCAAGGATCTGAAGGATAAGGCTTCTGACTTCATCAGGCAGATACTCCCAGCCTCCACAGTGTGGCCAGTTGTTACTATTTTGATTACAGATTAGATTGCTAGAATCATTAGAAAACATTTTGTCTATGAACGGATGCAGAATTTTGTGTCTGACATACAGTTTCTGCTTCTGACATTTAAAAGGAGAAATTCATTACTGCTTCTTTGGTAGCAATTTTTATGGCTTTTTATTATTCCTTTTAATAAGTCATTTATTTCTAAAATCTGTTTTTTTCTCCTTTTGCATCCTGAAGAATGGAATATTAAATAACTTTGGAATTTATACTAGTGAATTTCAAACACTGAACTACACTTTAAGGAGACTTATGGAACAGAACAAAGTAATTATCGTGCAGTTTTGTTTCTTTAGCTTTAATACATTGCTTCAGTTCACCAATATGATTTCAATTTATTATGCAAATGTGACAATTATTCCATTAAAAATCTGTTAGAAGGATTGCATACTTTGTTTCTGCAGCACAATAAACTGTGTTGAGTATTTCATTGTTTTTTGATTTGCTTATTTTGTTTTTGATGACAACTCATTTAAAGTAAAAGTCTTTAAAGTGGCAGAGTAATGTGATAACATGTCTTCGCTAGTAATTTAATACTTGGATATAATGAGTTTATCTGAGAGATTTCATTAAAAACAGCAAGGTGCCTGAATACCAAAGCTGAGATGTTTTTAATCACAGAATTATAGTAATTATACAAATCCCAAGATTTTCATCAGACAGAAAAGGCTCCCAGGGCTAAACATGCACTTTAAACTTAGCACTAATAACTGTGTATTGTTCTCAATTATAGGAAGGAGAATCCTCAGGCCAAGGGAAGTACTGGGGAGAATGTCTTGTGTTGAATTTTTAAGGAAAATTAAGAAATAAACTATTTTGATAACATAATGATATCTGTAAGAGGCACATCCCCAGGGTAATAGAAGGGGGATTCTCATATGTAATCATGGTATGTGGCGGGTGAATACCTAGATACTCAATGAGCCTTTATTGTTTACTATATTATCAGCACAGAGTGCTAGAAGGAGCATCTCTGTCTTCTCCCAGGGGTCCTGAAGTTCTTAATTCACTGGAGTAAATGGGACAGACTGCCATTAAATGACATGATTTTTGGCCCAGAATCTAGATTTCCAGGTTGGGTGAAGACGAAGTAATAATTTAGTTATTATGTGGCTTACTGAAAATGTCAAATTTTTATTTTAAAAAACCAGCACATGGTACCCTTAGGGAGCTTGTTTTTAAGAGAAGCGATAGAAAAAGATGCATCTAGGAAGATTTTATAAAAATCTCTCTAAACAAGAAACTTTACTTGATCTATTTCCCATTGATTATTCTCTATCCTCCTCTGGCTCAGATAGGTGTTAAGGAAGGGGGAACACAGGAGCGGCCGTGTGGCGTGCATGATGGCCGAGGTCCGACGGAGGAAGGGCGCCTGGGGAAATGGGCGTGGCGAGCCAGGCTGACTCCTGTGTTGCGGGGGTTTGGAGTCGAGGGCAGAGCCTGTAGTCAAATGAAGGCCCTTGTGATCCGTCTGGGTGTTCCTGGTGAGCAGTCAGGACACAGAATTACCCCAAGGGGCTGGAGCAGAGTCCTGCCAAGACAGCACGTCCGGTCTCTGCTCTTCTCCCAACTTCATCCTTTCCTGTGAGAAGCGCATCATCCCCTGTCCGCAAGCAGAATCAGAGAGTTAGCTGTAACAGCTGTCCCCTGCCTCCTTCTGAATGTTATCAGCCATATTTACTGTTTGCACACTTGAACCTCCAGGCGCTTCCCCACCCCCTCACCAGTTGGCTCTCCGGCCTCACCATTTTGGGCCGGCCTTGTGCCCTGCCCTGAATGGGTGCCCAGAGGTGAGCCCATGCAGACCTCCCCTTTTGCAGCCACCCTTGCTGGGCAGACCCTGGCCGGAGAAGCCCCTGCCTGCAATTTTCAGTGTCATTAAAGTTTTGCTTTTTCGCTTTTAACCATCAAAATAATATGGGCCATTGAGGAAGATTGACAAGATACAGAAACATGTAGAGATACAGAAAAGTCACGGTTATTCCCTCCCCCCAGAGAGAATTCATATTTTGCCATCCATGTTTTCCTCCAATCTTTTCCTGTATCCTTTGTTTTTCTTAATATACATTACTCTGCAAATGCATGTTTGGATTCTGATTTACAAACATTTAACAATATTTAATCACCTGTCATAAGCATTTTCCATAAACCTCGTGGATGTGAACATAAAGGTGTTATTATCTTGATTAAGTGTTATTGTCATTTGGTCTCCTCCCAGGTCCCCTGCTGTCCCCTGCTGCAGATTTGGAAGGCTATGATGGGTATGAATGTGAGAATTCGGAGGTTTCAGCTGATTCGTTGCTTCTGCCTGGAAGACCCTCGTTTACAAGTAGGAAAAGCGCTGCTTGTGCCAGTTGACTCCAAGAGACAAGACGTGTTTTAGAAAGAAATGGATGAAGGCAGCTCAGGGGGCCCCAAACGTGTGCTTCCTGTGGTCTAGTCCAGGGAAGCCCTTCCGCGGGGCCCCGACCTTCTGGGATGTCTCCAGTGCTGGACGCATGGCTGATTCCTGAATGACGATGGTTCGCCGGGGGCTGCTTGCGTGGATCTCTCGGGTGGTGGTTTTGCTCGTGCTTCTCTGCTGTGCCGTCTCTGTCCTCTACATGTTGGCCTGCACTCCCAAAGGCAACGAGGAGCAGCTGGGGCTGCCCCGGGCCAACGGCCCCACTGGGAAGGAAGGGTACCAGGCTGCCCTGCAGGAGTGGGAGGAGCAGCACCGCAACTACGTCAGCAGCCTCAAGAGGCAGATCGCCCAGCTCAAGGAGGAACTGCAGGAGAGGAGCGAGCAGCTCAGGAACGCGCAGTATCATGCCAGCGATGCCGCGGGCCTGGGCGTCGACCAGGGCGCCCCTGAGAAAACCCAGGCTGACCTGCTGGCCTTCCTGCACTCGCAGGTGGACAAGGCGGAGGTGCACGCCGGCGTCAAGCTGGCCACCGAGTACGCTGCAGTGCCTTTCGATAGTTTCACCCTGCAGAAGGTGTACCAGTTGGAGACGGGCCTGACCCGCCACCCCGAGGAGAAACCCGTGAGGAAAGACAAGCGGGACGAGTTGGTGGAAGCTATCGAGTCGGCCCTGGAGACCCTGAACAGCCCTGCGGAGAACAGCCCAAATCAGCATCCTTACACAGCCTCGGATTTCATAGAAGGTTGGTCTGTGGATTGGGGTAGAAAGTAGAAGAAGACGGAGGCATCTGGGTCAAGGCCCGCAGGCAGGTCACGGCTGTGGGAGGCTGGCAGCTGGCTCTGGGGACGGCTGGTAGGAAGTTCTATGTGAGTGACACCAAAGGTATATAGTACAGTTTTTATTTCTCAGGAACATCTGTTTCCACTTACTTTCTCACGAAAACCGCAATCATTGAGTGGACAGAGTCATTGTTCCTTGGCAGAAGAAAGTAGAACTTGCTTTCTTTTTAAAAAATAAAGGAATAAAATAAAACAAAATGTAAACATAAAGCTTTGAAACCCAAGAGGACTACGGGCAGGACTATGATAGGCAGTTTTCATTTATGCCTTTTCACAGGCATTTCTCTCCTAGAGGTTGGGCCTGGTCGTGAGGTCTGTGAACAGGAGAAGGGGAGTAAATGTGCTATGTGGCTCTTACATTCGCCACACACTGTTCTAGGGGCTTTACACTTACTAATTCACTTTTTCTTCCTAATGACCCCCTTCGGGGATAAGGGAATAGAGGTTCAAATTAAGTAAGTAAATTACCTAAGGTTGCGCAATTAGTAAGTGACAGAGCCAGGATTTCAACCAGGGAAGTCTGATTTCACAGCCCAAACCCTCACCACTAGGTTGTATTGCATGGATGGAACCTGAGTAGCATATGGAAGCTAGTGAGATGAATGAATGAGCTTTTTTTTTTTTTTTTTTATAGGCACAGAACAACCTAGTATTAATTTGTGTTTGATTTTGTCTAACTTCAGAAGGAAGGAGCTTGTCTGGTTTCTTGGAAGACTCTTTTGTATTTTCTGCTTATCAATTTTCCCATTGTTACTGGTTCAAAATCAGCTAATAATCTGGGAGAGGAAGTGCCTTCAAAGGCATCCAGCTTGTTCCCCTGTTCCTTGATAGAATCCAGTCCAACTTCCCAGACGTGTATGATAGCTGGGTCCAAATGACCCCCTCACTAAAGTTCCGTAACTACCATCTCCCATCAGCCTACAGGCAACTCTCTTTAGTTGTAGCAAAAATCCTTCCACTGCTGTTTATGCCTGTTCTCTTTGGACATTTTCCTGTCTTCTCTTTTCCACTTTATATGTGAACTATAAATTCATGTAATTTTGCTATAGTATCATTTTTCATAGACCTAGAGCAAGGTAAAGAAATCTTTTACAAGACCAAGCTTTTGGTGTCAGGATTTTTTTTTTTTTTTTTTACTCACTTATATGAGGTATTAAAAATGCCTAGCACATTCAGCAGCTGCAAGTATAAATTCATGGTGAGCGCTCAGACTTTGAAATACCATGATGATGCAGCTTCAGACTTTATAGTGTCCTAGAATTTATGGAACATTTCCACATATATTATCTTACTAGCTGGCCCCTAGGGAAATCATTAAACATCCTTAAAAATGAATCCTAGTTGCCACTGGCCCTGGATTATGCTACAAAAGCTGTCTGCATACAAAGCAATTTCAAAAGAACTCAATTACAAGTGAGTGTCTACAATTTGGAATATTTACCCTTGTGATTTTTAATCTGTATTCATATTTGAAATCTCTACCTGCTTTTCTTACACAACATCTTTAATATATAAGGACTATTGTTCTTGATCAGCAGTGACATAGATCTCTTGTTCCTGAGTTTATTTGCCCCAAGATACAGCTGATTTTCTATCGGAGGCACTGCAATCACAGCTGCGCAGTATTGGTTTCACAAGCAGCACACAGCCTGTGTTTTAAAGCAGATCAGCCCACATGTACTTTCCAAATTCAGTGAAAGTCTAGCCAGCTGTTTCCATATGATGGGTGAGTAGGCACAAGCACTTTCAATATACAGGGGTGGGTAAAAAGTAGGTTTACAGTTATGAGTATATGAAATACAGTTTATTCTGTATTATTATTTATTAATTATTATATCATTTTCCATACAAACAACTGTAAACCTACTTGTCTCATTCCTGTATTTACACATATTTTACTGTTATAAGTAGAGTTTCTTTCATTTTTTTTCACTCTTGTCACAAAAATTGTGGAGGTGATCTTTTATATTCTTGGGAAACCGGGCATTATGAGAGACACCACAAGTCAGAGGAAGTTGTGGGGAGGTAGAGATAAATTCAGGGGCAGGAGTAACTTTGAAACAGTGATGTTTCAGAATGAAGTGGGACCCCTGAGACGGCAAGAATTAACTGCCGGCTGCTTGGCCAGGTGGCCAGAATTCGTGATTCCAGCCTCAGAGAGGCAGCTGGACTGAATTACGTTTGAGGACCTTTTCAATCCTGATTTACGATTCTTTGACCTAAACCCAGTTAAGGAGAGAAGGGAATGGAAAGGGTCTCATTTGAAGTCTGTTTTCTGTAATGAGACAGGACCTTATAAGGGTGAAGTACAATACATCTTTGAAACAACGTATTTGGGTCTCTAAATATAAACTTAGAGAGATTGATTTTGTATTTGGGAGTTAGTAGGCCAAAAGTTGGAGCAATTGAGAAGTCCATGGGAAGATTTGAGGTTACCAGCAGGGAGTTCCAGACTCTCAGAACTGTAAACGAAGGCGGCAGATTTGCTGAACCCTGAACTAGTACAATAAACATGGGGATTCTTTGTGTTTACAGAAATATAATCAAAGCCCCTGGAATACTTCCAGATGATAATAGGTACATAAAGCCAAAAGCCAACCGTGAAGCAGGTGGCACGATGACATGAGCGTGGGAAACTGCGTGGCTTTGACCAACACCCTTAAGCTCCTTGAGACTTGGTTTCCACATCTGTCAATGAGAGGCCAGACTTGGATGCCCTCCAAAGCCCTACCCAGCCCCAGCCTGTGCCAAATGCAAAACACTGCTTCCACTTCCTTTCTTCTTAGCTTTGCGAGGCAACCGTACCTGGGGTGCTCTGCCCGCTGCTCTGCTTTCTGACGGAGGGCATGCCACCTACCCTGTGGGATTTTCCTCTGTAAAAGGAGGAGTTCAAATAGATTGTTTATAGTTGGCCTGACGGTGGCCACTTGCTACAATTCTGTGAAGCTTGCGAAGGGAGAATACCACCTTGATGACTATCTAATTTATTATCTATATTGGTTTAATTCTTGTGTATCTCTAAAACACAGAGGGTACAATATTTGCTTCCTTTCCCTTTCCCCAGATGTTTCGCTGGCACTGATTTTTGTGTTGGATTCTTGTACAAATTTTTTTTTACAACCATCTGGGAAAAGAAATTAAAGTAGACAAATGTGATCAGGCCCTGTGCCTTTGGATGCCTAACTGTTTATCTCCTCAAGGCAACAGAAACTCCTTCCCCGTGAGTGCGGTGTAGTTGTTCCCTCAGTATGGGATGCACAGACTCTGAGCGGCACAACCTCTGGCTTTGATTTTGTATTTTTAAACAGAGCTCTCAGATGTAAATTTGATGTCATTCCATAGAACAGTTCGGCTTTCTGAATTAGCCCCCCATTACAGTCCGAACATCTGATCGTGTGAATCCCATGGGAGGCACCCGTGACGACTGTCCCCATGGGGTCGCCCGGTCAGCAGCCTCAGCAGCTCGCCCCCCTGCAGCTTTTGCAGGGTTAGTGGCAGCAGGAGTGGGTCAGACACTAGAAGACTCCGTTTCTGGGCAATACGGAGCCGAGCTGTGATCCACAGAAGGTGAAGGTTTCGAGGGCACCCTATGATGTATTTTTCAATGAGGGGTATAGAAATGGCTGTAAAACCTTAGTAGCTGCCTGCACAGCAGTCCCGACTTTCTGCGCTCTACAGCCAAATCCTCGTGGTTTCCAGGGAGCTAAGGCAAGACATGAAGGTCCTGAGCTTTGGACTTCCATTGTCTGTGTCTCCTCATAACCTCCAAGGGACACCCTGTGACCACTTTGCTAGAGCTTTTTTAGACAAGTCATCTCCAGTTCCGGGTCCTGGGTGCTTGGACAACAAGGTACTTGGGGCTGGGAGCATAGGAAATGGCCCTTTCCCCAGCGTGCATTTCAGTGATACGCTTCTTTGTCAGCAACTCCGTGAGTTGCTGTGGAGCTGGCGAGGCGGGCGTTCAGAGGCCTTTCCGGGCACCTGGGGATCTCAGCGCAGAAATACAGGAGAGCAGGGATTCTGCACAGTGGGTGGGCCTGGCCTGTGTTTAGAGGAGAGCATAGTGCGGGAGACTAGCTGGCAGGCAGGACAGCGAGGGGACTCCAGGTCTTGAGTTGGGCCTGTGTTCTCAGGCAGCATCTCCCGGGAAATGAGGCCAGTAGAACTCAGGACTGCCCTCGTCACCATGCCCTGGGCCCGCCGCGCTGGTTTACGGTTGTTAAGGTCTGAGCCGCCCCGCGTCCCTCTAGCACCTCACTCTGTCCAGTCTGTTCCACTTCCTCCCACACATCTCCTCCTTTGTTTCTAATTGCTTCAAGTTCCTTTGAGGAGGAAGAAGTGCTTGTTATTCCAAAACCATTTAAGAGGCTTAAATGCAAATATATGGTTCGAAGCTACGCTTTGGAGAGTGAATTCTTCCTGAGATGGTGACAAAGTCGCCCAGCCTTGGGCTCCTGCCAGTGCGAGGAGCCCAGCCCTCCAGGAGCGAGCAGAAGAGCCCCAGGCTCGGGTAAATGCTTTGCTACCACAGAACATTTTGAAATTCTCAATAATTTTTGAACAAGGGACCCTACATTTTCATTTTGCCCTGAGCCCTGCTATCCACATCCCATATCCAAGGCTGAGGGAACAGGGGAGGAAGGTAAAGAAAGAGGAAGATAAAATTAGCAGATGAACTGTGCAGTCTGACACCTGTGTTGAGGATCAGCTCTGTTGGCCTTCAGTGGGCTGGGACACCTGGAAGCCATGTTTGATATACATCCTACGTGTATGGAGCATTTTGTTGCAAGACTGCAGAAGCTGGCAAGGCGCACTTGGTTTTATGATGATTTTGTTTGTATTTCTATCATGCTCACTCAATGCAATTTTGTTATCAGGGCATTTGACAAAAAAATTGAGGTAT